AGGAGCAGCCCGTGGTGTAAATCAAAAACACGAGTGTTTGTTTAAGAAATAAGCTCCTTGTGCATAAAATGACTTTTTCTTTGGTGGGGGGAAGCATCCCTGAACAAAATGAGCTGGTGCTAAGGCTCTGCCCCTCCACAGACACTCCCTTGCCTCTTCTGCCCTTACCTTTTTCTGAAGGTGTAAAGGGTTCTTTCAGTAAGAAGTTTTATGCTTTTCCTTATCAGACAAAATCCGTTTCTCTCAACAGCCTCTGCTTGTTTTTATTGCATTTTGAACAGTCAGCTCTGATTTTTATGGGCATCTTTTATTCCTGTGTTTATTAAACTTCTTCACATGGGGGTTAGAGTGAGGGATAAATTATTCTCTCGTAGTTTTTGCACTGAATAGGCCATATGGCCTTCCTCAAATATGTAACTCAGTGTCCTGAAGAGTGGCCTGGCCACTTTATACATAGGCTTCTGTATTAAAAGGTTTTGAGAGCTGGGAAGCTCTTGCTGGGCACCTTATTCTTCCTGTCTAATGATGTGAGTGCTATCCAGATCCAAAAGGATAAGCAAAAAGATTCCTCTGTGGGAATTAGTGTAATTTCAGGTGCTTTCTTCTCTGACAGGAAATTGTTTAGCAAGTATAGTTTTGTTCTTCTTCATTTCTTTTATTAGCAAGAAGATCAAGAAGGCTGAATTGGTGCATCCCTGCTCTGGTGTTAAAGGGAGGGGAGTTTCATTTAGGACGAGTGGGTAAGGAAAGGTTGGGTTTATAGCAGTGCTTTCACATGCCCTTATGAATTTTTCAAATCCCTCTTAAAGGAAAGTCCCTAGCCATTCCACAGTTACCCTGCAGCCTCCTGCTGCTGCTCAGCCCACTGGCCAGGTTGCACGAGAGGCTTTCACCTGGAACCCTTGTTTTTGTTTTTGATTTTAGAAAAGGCAAGAAGTCTGAAGGAAGCTGTCGCATAGATTTGCTTGAAGGACCATGAAATCGTAAATGCAAGATTGTTGTAAAGAGAGTGGACCTGGTAATGGATATGTATAAGCCTCTGGCTCTGTAGGTTCCTATTGTTACTGTGTTTGGGGGCGCAGCTGAGGGGAGGGACAGGGTGCCGATGCCTTTTTCTTTAAGCGTGTTAATATTGATTTTAGAAGCTCTGTGTTCCAACAATATAAATGCAAATGCCTGTAATTGGGAGCCTCGTGCAGAATTTCTCAATAGAAAACATGTTCAACTTTTCATGACAATGAAAGGAAAATAAAAAGCCGCTTATTTATTGGTGGTGGTTTGAATCCTGGATTTCCTTTCAAGTTACTTTGCAGTGCTAAATAAAATACCTAATTGCAGTGCTCGCAAAATTCAAATGAGTACATTTGTTCTTCTGGTAGCTTGCGGCTATTTGCAACCTCTGGACACCCTCAGCGTTATTTTAGCACATCCATAACTTCTGGTTGTGCTGTAAGCTGGGGGTGGGTCAGGGGGAAGACTTAGAAACCCCAAATGCTGCTGGCACAAAACACTGCCAAAGTTAGGATGTGTACTCAGTGTTGGAGTGGAGCTGGGTGAGGATCTCAAGGTAACACTTATGGATGATCAGGTTCAGGTAAAAGGAAGGAAGTGTCAGTGAAGCTCTCCTCTTAACTCCCTCGTGCCTCTTTTCTTCCACCTTTCCCTTCTGGGAGGAAGCAGTGAAGGTCCTTGAGTGGTGGAGATGGAGCTGAGCATGTTGAGCTCACTGGGCTGCTGTGAAACGTGAGAGAGCACCCGGCTGCCTTCCTGCGTCACAGTCTGCTGGGGGGTTGTGTGTGTGAGTGTCTAAGTGCTCACCATTTCATAATAATTACTAATGAAATTCTAGATCTGTAATAACATTTCGGATATCTAAAACAAACCATATGCTTGTAAAAAAAAAAAAAAGAGAGAGAAAAAAAGTGGAAACAGATCAACTTTAAGCCATAAATTCTTGGTAATAGAGGCCTCTTTTCTCCCCCCTTTCTGTTTATGTTTGATAGATATTTTTGTTTCTGCAGGAATGTCAACTCTTAATTTCATGATGTATCATGGGCTTAAGAAAATTGAATTTAATAAAGGCAAAAGATGAATGGCACCTTTAAAGGTCCCAACACTTGTCTTTATTAGCAGGACAAACTACAGGGTCTCCAAACACTGCTTCTCTCCAAATGAAAGTTTAAATGAAAAGTACAGCAGTGTCACAGGTTAAATTTCATTGCAGGACTGGCTAACGTCGTTAGTGAGGAGTGGGGCTGATTTCATGGGGCTGGTATCTGTTGCCTTAGATACCAGTGGAGCAAACACTGCCAGAGACTGGAAAAATCTCCGCTATAGGAAGCGTGCAGATAAACAGCCTTTTGGGAAAGGTTCTTTACCACTTGCTTCCAAAACTGACCAAATAAGCCCAAAAAAGTGGCTGCTCTTTCTCCTAAGACGCTCAAGTCGCCTCTGGGGTTCCACCCCTACTCCTGGCCATGCACTTCCTAAAGACCCGCAGTAATTCTGGATATTGTTAAATTTTCCACAGTTTTTTAGTATGGCTTTTTATTTCCTCCGTCTGTCTTAATCCGACCCTCCTGGAAGTGCTTTTTGCCTTTGGTACTGGAAGGCCAGCAACGCCTTTGTGTATCAGATCAGCAGCAGGGCTGTCTTTCAGTCTCGCTTTGCATCCAGCCACTTGATGGCCCCTGAGGATGTTTCTGGTCCCTTAGGACCTATCCCGGCATTGCAATGCAGCCCTGCTGTGAAATCCAGCCGGTGTGTGTCTCTCTCCAGAAGGGGGAATGCTCATCTTGCCCTGCCGTGGGCTTGCCCTCTTCCATGGTCACCCGCTGGGTGGGATGCAGACCTAAGGGGCAGCGAGACGCCCCAGCCCGATTTGAAAGATGCCGCAGTGTTATCCTGGGGTTAAGCGTGGCTCTGTTATGACAGCCTGTCTGTTAGCTTCAAACTTTGCAGTCTGTTTTCCTCCTGAACAGAAATTTGCTGCTTTCAGAGCCTGTCTGTGGTAGCCCTTTTGAAGGGAGGATCAGCTGTGTCCAGCATTTCTTACTTTCTCGTGTTTCCATGGGTCCTCCTGGGTGGCTGAAGCTGGTGCGTTTGGCTGCACCACAACAGGCAGTCTGGGTGATGCTCAGGTGTTTTGCATGTGTCTTCTCCTCCCCTTCCAGCCCCTGGGTCGAGTTTCTTCTCTTTCCTGGGGAAACTTGGTGACTCCCAGTGGGGTGGTACAGCTGTGGGGAAGGATGTGCCCAACCATCTGCTCTGCCTGAGCCCACGTGGCACACATGGAGTGTGACACAGATGACCATGGGGAAACAGTTAAGCCCTGCATCCTCTGCAGTTCCACTGCTCTGTGTCTGCACCTGGGCACTTGACATTATTAACACTTTATTTTAATTTTTTTTCCTAATTTTCCATATCAGCAGCACATGTTCCCCACGTGCCCTGGTCTGGGCCGTGTGCCTGTTGCGCCAGGGAAGCTGCTCTCCTGCATCCACAGGCTCTGTCCACCATGGAAATTGGGTGTTCCTCCTGGCTATTTAAATTGTCTGTTATTTCCATTTACCCACCCAGCTTCTTGCCCTCCTGCTGCCTAGTGGGGTGGTGATGTCACCAGCTCACATGTATAACCTCACGATAATTTCCGCCTCCAGGTCATGAGGGTTGCACCCAGGGTCCAGAAAAGTGTGTTAGTTCCTCTGCAGCGGCTGCATTTTTCACATGCTAATTTTACTCACAGGAGTTGGATTTTTTTTTTCATTTTTTATTATTTCTTATTTGTCTCTTCCAGATGTTTTCAGGCAGGTTTTTTTTTTTTGTTGTTAAACTAATTCCATTCATGTTTTAAAAATTTATGAAAGCGCTAATAAAAATGTCAAAGTGGTAAAAATGTTAGCTTTTGCTCTGCTTTGATTAAATTTTGCAAACTGTTTTTGAATATTAAAAAGCAATATTTTTTTTATTCTCTCTCCCTCTCTCTGTTTCTCTCCAGAAGTGATTTGAGAGGCTTGTTGCATGGATATCACTCAGCAGCCTCATTTGCACTCCAGAACCTTGGTGCCATGGATCTCTATTAAATAACATAGACAAATTATTCTTTAAAGACACCAAACAAATTGTCACTTCTCCTCTTACATTAAACTGGAAGGAAGAAAGGGAATGGAGAAGGAGGGGGGTGAACACAAAGGATTTTATCGCTTTTATTCAGTGGGCAGCTTTTTTAATTTCATGTATATTTTTTAATAATTGAGAAATCCATCGCAACTGGATTTGTTTAAACTTTTTATTAACAGGTCCATGTAAATTTTTGATTGCTGATTATTCAAATAATTGAACATTCTTCTGATGAAGGAACGTTTTTATTTCCCTATCAGCATAAATTGGCTACAAAGAGGAAAATGAAGCAGGGCTTGCTACTGTGCTGTATCCCATAGGAATGGATCTGGGGGTAGCTTCCAGCTCCTCAGTCTGTTGGAGGAGGGCAGTGCTCCTCAGCCTCTCCAGAGGAGGAGGTGCTTCCTGCAGTAGTCCCTGTTGTCCGTTTGATGGTGTCCTCCAAAAGGATGGTGGGGTGGAAAGGATGGGACTGGTCTTTGGGGAGGGCTCAGCCCCTGGGATGTCCTTGCCAGACTTGAGCCCATTGCAGGTACCTCTCCATGTTCCATGGGTAGCACGTGTGGGTGGTGTGAGACCATCTTCCTCAGGTGCAGCTTAGGCAGGGCCGTGTGCAGCTGCAGTGCTGGGCACAGAGACCTCCTTGCTGCCATCCTGGCTGTGATGAGCATCAGCACCATCCTGCTCTGTACCTGAGGTGTTGGATGTGCTCTGTGCTGCAGCACCACCTTCCCACTTTTGCAAAGCTTTGTGTTGGGCTTATTTTTGTTTGGGACTATCAGGCCCCTCTTTTTACAGCCACTTTGCTAAATGGGATAATTTGTAGCTTCATTCTTTGTTTATTTTAAATGAACAGCTGCTTTTCTTTTTGCCCTATTCAGGAAATCATCGAATTCCCTATCCTGAAGCTGAATGGCAGGACGATGGAGATCGAATCCACCTTTCACATGTATGTTCAGCCTGTGGTGCATCCCCAGCTTACGCCCTTCTGTACAGAGGTAAAGTGCAAAGGCTCCCTGGTGCTCCAAGGGTCTCCCTGGGAAGCAGGTTTCCATTGCACCAGGGACTGGGGTCACCTCTTCACGGTTCAGCTGCAGTGCAGTGTCTCATGCCAGCCTTAGGTTAAGGACAAGGGGAATAATTTTTTGTTATTGCAGTAGCGTGTAAAGACCTCACTTTGGATTCATAGATAACTCTAACTGTGATCTACTAACTGAGATAGTTGTATTTACAATTAACAAACATCTAACTGGTTGACCACAAAATAAAAGCTGATGCTCAAAGTCTTGTAACCTCCCTGTGAGCTCTTGTGATTTTGCTGTGCTGCTCTGTGTTGGGGAAGGTCAAAGAGAGCATGGTCTGAGGGAAGGAAGTGCTGTAGGGCTGCGTATTCAGAGGCTCTAAATGACTCTCCTGTGGGCCTGCATGTTGGGGTTTGATGAGTCCTTCAGAGCAGTAGGATGTCTGTATTTTTAAGACTTTCTTTTTGATGTCATGCTTGTGGGGTGCTTGAAATGATTGCTGGAGAAGTAGCCTCTTTTTACTTGGTTGCTCTCACTGCTGAGTACAGCTGCTCTTGAGCCGAGGCCACCTTTCCACAGATACAGAATGAAGGTGGGCAGTGCGGTCCCTGAGGGTTCAAAGGAATTGGGGGCAGGGGTTGGTTTGGGTTTTGTTGTTGTTTTTTGTTTGCGTTTTTTTTTGTTCAACACAAGAAGTTGTATGTTTTCCCAAGTGTGTTCTTTCTTCTTGTTGTAACCATCAAAACAAACTTTTAAGTTACTCTTGCTTTGGGCTTTTTTTCCTGCCACTCCACTGGTTCAGTGTTGGCCAGCTTGGTGACTAAAGTACCGAATGTGGGAATCAGGATATCCAAGTTCTTTGTTCTGTCCCTGTCTTGTCTAGGATCATAGCACCACAGTGTGTTTTCCCCTACCTCGCTGGCTGCAGGTTTAAGCCCTTGGAGTGCTTGTCCCACATGTACTAACCTGATGAAAAATGACTCCTCTGTTTTAGGTGGAGTCCCCTCCAGGACCAACCAGCCCCTTCCATATTTTCACATTGTAAAAACAAATACTTATTTTTATTCTCTTGTAACTAAAAACCATCTGAAGGTATTTTATTTCAACTTAAAAAAAAAAAAAAAAGACTAAGCACCGAAAACGTTACTCCCAGGAGAGGGGCTTTCAGAAAGCTATAAATGTGTGAGAACAGAGGGTTATAATGCAAACCGTTTTGCAACCTTAATGCTAGAAGGCTGGACAACTACTTTGGCTGTCCTTATCCCCATGAGACTTGCTGGACATATGCTTGTAGAAATGTGATAAATCTCAGAGTTTGCACCTGATCTGGGCTAAAAACAGCGCCATCTTCTGAAAGAGTAGAGCCCAAAATGTCCATTTTGCAAGTCCTCTACATTCTAGAGAGAAGTTGTCTCATTAACTACCACCAAAATTTCTTTTTCTGGAAGTCCCTCTATTGCATCCTTCTCCCTGTTGTGTCTCCTGTGTGGAGCCCTAAAGCAAGCAGAGCTCTGTGTGTGTGTGTGTGTGTGATGGCCACGTGTTTGCCGGAGTCCCCAGGATGGGCACGGCTGTCCCAGCTCAGTGTGTGCTGCAGACTCTGCCTCTGACCGTGGTCTGGCATCGTGTCCAGAGCTGGATGAAAACAGGCAGTGCTGATGCCAGCAGGCAAAATGGTCGCAGAACCCCCACCTGTGTGAAAGGTCCCACTTGCCAGGTTTGGCAAGTCCTCTGTTATTAACAGTGTGAGTTAAGGAGCTAGTTTTAGTTCTAGCCTGGAAGTTACTGGCTCCTGGGCATCTTCCCACTGCACCCCTTGCTGCTTAGTGTCCAGCATGGCTGCTGTCCCTCCCAGCTTGGCAGTCCACTGGCCTGTTGCAGGGGCTGTGGAGAGGTCCAGGAGTGGGATCATGCTGGGAATGTAACTGGGCTTGTCGCTGGGCCCTGTAGCTGGGGCTGAATTTGAAGCCCTGCCCTGAAGGCCACAGGTGAACTGGTTGTACTGAGACCTTACTAAACATGGAGCAGATGTAGGGGTCAGCCCTGTGCCACTGGTGTAGGTTCCCTTGAGACCCCAAGGACACAGCCAGGACGTGCTGCTGTGGAGCTGCTGCCTGAACAGCTCCAGCACTTGCCATTGACTTTCTGCTGGTTTATGTTTTCTGAAAAATACTCATTTTGCTAAATGCCAGTAAAGGGCTTTGTCTAGGCACCTCTACTTACAAAGGGTGAGATTTATTGGCCTCTTTGTCTACAAAGAAAGACCAGGCCTGATTATCAGATTGTACACCAGAGACAAGTGCTTAGGTAATCAGCAAACTGTCTTGGAGTAGAAATAGATGGTTTCCCAGATAAACTCTCTAGGAAAAGCAGTGCTGTTAACATTACATGGGAGCCTGTCTGCCGTGCTGCTGATTTCCCCTCTCCCCTCTGCTTGCTGCCTTTCCTGGGAAGCAGTAGAACTGCTTAGGATAGACTCTGTGTGGGAGGGTTACTGGAGTTGCTTGACATTACTCCTTGGGTCTGGAGTACTTCTCCCATCCCTCATCCTCCTTGAAGAGGACAGCACAGCATGGGAAGGGTGCCTGGAAGGGTGGAGAACTTGTGGTCACCCTCAAGGCATCCCTTTGCTTTTAGTGTGTCTATGCACCTCCTGGCTACAGGAGGTTTCTTCAACTCCCCACACAGATGGCCAGGAGCATGTCTTCCAGTACTGGCTCACTCTGAGCCCTCATCTGGTTCCCTTTCTCCTGATCTGCTTCTGTAAAACAACAGGTTGTGATTGGTTATGATGAGGGCTGGGTGTTATGATGAGTGTTTAGGCGGAGAAGTTGGAAAGTGCTTGCAAGTTGTTAAAAACTGTTATTAGGTGTATAAAGCTCATCATACCCTTTTGGAAGATGCAAGTGGTTTGTCTGCTGCCCAAGCAAGTTCATGCTGGGAGCTAAAGGAAAGATTCTCTCTACACAGAAGGTGCTTGTACAGGCTTTTTCATGGTACTTTGCTCTCTTTTTATGATTAATTTTTATTGATTTTTTTCCCTGAAGGAATAGACAATAAAAATACAGAAAGATAAATGCCTTATAGCTTGTTTGTGTTCCCAAGTACTGTATGCTTCTTGGGATCACCAGTGAAACTTTACAATTGTGCAGTTTTATGTTTTTATACTTCTTCAAAGCTGCAAGACCAGATAATGCTGCAGAGATCCAATGCACTAGGTTGGGTGTGACAGGTGGATGTGACTGATAACAGAAAGGATCAGAAAGGGTGAGAGAATATAAATCTGGTCCCATTTGAGCACTCTCTGACTTGTATTGAAATGTACCCATGGAGCAGGCATATCCCTTTGTATTCATGTGTATGATTTCTGCAGCACAAATCTTGTGTGTGTGTATTGGGCAGTATGTTCTTGTACAGATAAGTTGGTACTTTCTGCCTCATAATGGCTTGATGAACTTGAGAAACCCACGTAGAAAAGCTCTGCATTCTTAAAATACTTTCCCTAAAAGGTATGTATTACCATTCTGTGGAAGTCACTATGAGAAAATAATCTTTTTACTCACAGCTTATTCAGTGAGTCAGGTATTTGGTATTCATTAAGTGTAATTACAGTTTAATTGGAGTTTAATATCTTTTCTTTTTCCATCCTCTGAGTTCAATGCTGTAAGCCAAGCAGCCAAAGAAACTGAGAGGTAAAAACCATTTAGCTTCCTTCGGTTGCCACATATTTAATAAAGCCAAACCCTGTGGTTTGTGAGAGGGCTTATTTTTATGAGTAGGTTGAGCTGGTCTGCATGGAAGAGTTACTCCTGGGTGGTGGTGAGGCTGTCAGCACCTCTCGAGTAGGTGCTATGGCTTCTGGAGCCCTGGATGAGTGTGCAAGCATCAGGGCATGCTCCTGCATTGACCTTATTTTATGAAAATGTGTGAGGTGTGTAGCTTCAGGAAAGTGCCATATGAAGTGAAATCCCATAGTGTGCACTTGTTTTAGTAATGATTTTTTTAATTACTTGGATGCATTGATGGCAAGCTACTGACGTCCAATATTCAATATGTTAAAAGACAGTTTTGTCACTTGGAAGGCAGACAGAAAAATTATCTCTTTTCCATGTGCCTCAAGCCCTCCTGGGCAGACACAGGCAGAGGCCCATGAGACTTCATCTTTTTATGTCTGTGTCTTAGCTTTAAACAGCCAGGCAGTCCAGGAGCAGTCAGTAGGACTATGTGTTAGCAGGATCTGTTCCTAAGGAACCTCCTGAAGAACAGCGTGGACAGGGTTCTGGAAGAAAGTGCTTATCTTCGGGTTTCATTCCATTGTTTCAAGTACAATTTTGAAATGTACTTAGAGGAATGCTGTGATGGACTATGGGAAAAAATACATGCTGGCTGCCCAGCACAGGGGGGGATGACTGGGTCCACTCTGGGTCTTACCTACCAACAATCGTCTCTTCTGTTCATCTAACACTGAAATTTTGGTGTAACTGCAATAGCAGGGGAATGACCAGAGACCTTGGTAGTTACTGCTTCCTGTGTACATCAAGGCAACATCAAAACAGGTGAAATGCACGTTTAAAAGGGTGTCATGCTTAAGCATGACACTGCTCCCCAAGTGGATCCTGCCCTGCCAAGAGTTTGCTGTTTTGTGGTGTGGGTAGGAGCCCCGTTACATTTCTGTATTTGGGATGAAGCTGTGCCCTTGCCTGTGGCTGGGGATCTGCCAGGGTCACTCTGCTGTGACTGGCTACTCAGCAGCATCCATGTGGGTCACAGGAGCATGTTTTGGTTGCAGAGAGATGGACAGGAGAGTAGACCTTTCTAATGATCTTTTGAGTGCTGCTCTGATGCCTGCTTTCTGTTTGTCTCTCGTTTCAGCTGACTGGGATTATTCAAGGCATGGTGGATGGCCAGCCAAGCCTCCAGCAAGTGCTTGAGGTAAGCAGAGTAACCTTTAGTTCTCGAACTCTGACCTCTGGTCCTGTCGTCCCCTCTTCATCTCTTTCCCTTCACCCTCCCCTTGCTGAGAATCGAACCGCGTAATTTGACTATGATTACAGCTTCATTAGAATAACATTTGCTGTCACATTGGTGACACGCTGCTGAGAGTATTGAACCATTGATCTGTCATCTCCAGCTGTTCATGTCAAGGGTGCTGACAAGATATCCAAACTCCTGCCAGTAGATAGGAGAAGAGGCGATTCTTTCTTGAGCCAGTTTTAAAGCACCAAGACATTGCTCGAGACCACTACTCCTGGAGGTTCTGCCTTCGTTTCTTTTCCCCTTCCCCAGCACTTTATTAAATTAATTTTTCTACCTATTTAAATGCTCAATAATACATGTAGCATAGAAAGAAAATGCCTCTAAAATCTAATCTGGAGGATGTGCAAATGCAGAGATAGCCCTAATAATACTATCTGCCTAATGTTGAATTCCTAGAGCATTTAAGGCTTAATTAGCTTGGAAGTATTTCTCCATCAATAGCTTTTGTTGGTAGTCAGATAGTGAAGGAAACCTCCTCAAGCAGAGCCCACTTGGGCTGCAGGTTGGTGTTCGATGCATTGTGTCTGTCAGGATTTCCACTGCTGTGTTACCTAATTGTTCCTAATCAGAATAATTGCAACAATTGCTTATCTGAGGAAATCAAATTAAAGGCTTTAAAATCCTCCACGGAGACAGCGCTTCATGGGCGCTCACATCAGGGAACGTAAAAGGGTTACTGCTGCTGTCCCCGACTTCGGGCAACCTCGTGTGAGGCTGGCTGGAAGATCCTGTCAGCCCAAGGGAGGCAGAAGTGTGGCTGAGAGGCTGGATGCTGCTTTCCCGGGGAGCTTTACTCAGAGGGCTGTTGTACAATCGGTCACAGGAAGAAGCATCGACCCCTGCCAGGAAAGGCTGCGGCAATGACACGAGACCGAAGACGGTGCTCTGCGAAGGTGACATCTTGCATCCACGCAAACCCCCAGCTCTCCCTGTGCTCTCCAGAGAGCACGTAGCAGCCGTGCGTGTCCATAAGTGTATGGACGCCTGTGCCTGCTTCCCCAGGAGGGACAGCCCTCTTTGCCTGGATGGGCGAATGTAGATCGCTACTGGAGTATTCCAGAAAATGGTTTGTCCTGTTTCTATGGAAGCTTCTTATAGTGTGGAAACACTTATTTAGAATTTTTTTTTTTATTTGGACCAAGAAGGTGTTCCTACAGCACCATATTTCTAGCTTGAAATGAGATTCAGGTCAGGCAGCTTCTGGGGCATGCTGGTTTATTCAGGAGTGAAAGGTGTCAGGTGAGGGAAAAGAGGACGGATTTCTCTTGCTGAAGCTTTGGAAATGCTGCTAGTGAGGCTGCATAATAGCAGCTGATTGCCTGCCACCACAAGATTTTAGGCACATCATTTGCTAGTTTCAGCTGGACAAAGTGTCTATGCAGGGGTTTTAGTCTAGGTTAGTTCCTTCTGCTTTAGTTCCCCAGGTGGATTGCATCCTCCAGATTAACGTGACCCATTTCTGAAGAGGACCAGAACATCTGTTGCTATGGAAAGTTGATCAGGAATAGTGGATTCACTTTAAATCCACACTACCCTGAACAAGCATCTCAGAACTGCAAGGAGGAAAGAGGGATCCAGACTGGAAAGGAAGGGGACATGTAGCTTTGCTTGTTACTGCCACACAGTGCCTGTGTGTGCCCAGCCCTTCCATTTTTCCCCCTTTCCTGTATCCCCTTAGAGCTGTATGAATCAGAGTATGTGAAAAATGCTGCGGGGGGGGGATGCCATCTCAGGATACTTGTGTATTTGTCCTCAGTGGAGGGGACATAAGTTATGCTCACTGGGAGCCCTTTTGGTACAGAGAGAGGAGAAGTGGAGGAGAAATGCCAGGTAACAGCACAGTTGTATCATCCCGTTAATGCTGCACAACTTCCATCCCTCCATGAGCAGAGCTGCTGCGGTGTCTGATAAGATCATCTCTGCTCTGGTTGCCTGATGTCTCCTATCAGAAATCTTCAAAGGTCCAAACGTGCTGTTGTTGCGATGGCAAGCAAAGAGAGAAGAGAGAGAGGGAGAGGGTGGATAAGATCACAATTTTCTTCTTTCTTGATTGCAAGCAGCTTATCTGAGTTAAACTGTTGTGGCTTGGCCTGTCTCCGCAAAACTCATCCCCTTTTCTTGCCTTACTTTCAGAGGGTTGACGAGTGGATGGCAAAGGAAGGCCTCTTAGATCCCAGCGTCAAGTCGATTTTTGTGACCTGTGGAGACTGGGATTTGAAAGTGATGTGAGTATGGAAGGGGAGGGAGATTTTTCTGGGCTTTTTTGCTCCATGCTTGCCTGTAGCACCTATGTCTTTGTCCTTGCAGGCCTGCAACTGTCCCTAATTGTCGTTTCTTAGGGAAATTGTTGTTTGCCGTGCATAACTGGCACTGGAGAGCTGTTTCGGAAGACGGGTGCTGGGCATAGTGCAAGATCACTGCTTAGGTTATTCTCTGTAGTGAATGAATCCTTTCAGAATCCCAAGAGGGGTTTAGACTGGAGTTTTGTGATGTTTTCCTTTTTATCCGGGTATAGTTTCCAAAGGGATGGATATTTCTGGGTGCATACGTGGAATGCTGTTTTTGTACACCCAAATCAAGTGATGGTCCTTACCTGACGCATGCAAGGCTTCCTCTCTGTCATCTTGGCACAGTAACTCGATGTGAATCACAGAGTAGTCTTTGGGACAGAATACAAAACAGCTCTGGCATGATTCATTGGTGTTCTTATCGTTAAGGTCATCTTCGCCGACTGGGTGACTGTATCTGGTGGGAACCTGCACTGGGATCTGCAAGTGTTGGTGTATGTGCATGTTTTGTCAGGAACATTGCTAGACCACCAACCTAAAAATGTTATTATAAGAACAGAGTTAAATGTCTAAAAATTACATTACTTTAATCCGTAAAGTGTTTGCAGATCAGTGTCATATTGTGCTGAATTCCTTTGGATTCCTATAATCTTGCTTCATTTTTAATTTCCCCACAGTGCTGGATAAAGACTGCTGTTGTTATCACACCAGTAAAGCATGGGCTTGACACATCCAATGCTAAACTGACAGCCACAACTCGTTAGTGGTATGACTTGGGTTCCACTGTGACATTGGCTTCCCCAAGTCAGAAGCCTAAATAAACTGCACACAGCCTAGGAGCAATCAGCCCCAGTTCTTCCCTGCAGAGTGGTCTTTGTAGAGTGGCAGCTCCTTGCCTTTTCTTGGTGTGATTAGTGAGACATGAGATGTGAGGACCAAAGCTCAGCACAAGCGCTAGCGGAGATGAGAAATTGGCCATGCTCCAGTCAGGGGGTGGTACGTGAGCTCTTGAGTCAAAGTCTGGGTCTCTGCTCAAGCTGTGTCCAGAGCTGGTATATATTGCAGGTTCCTGTGTTAGCTGCTTAAATGAAGAATGAGGCTTATTTTTCTTTATATATAATGTTTAAACTTCTATTAGAGACCAACTCAAACAGCTGCTGTGCTAAGCTTCTGTTTCTCGTCTATTCTGTTTTCTCTGTTCTTTACTCCTGTATTGCTGTTCTGAGAGCCCAGTTTGCCACTTTTGGTGATGGTTGTAAGAAACAGTTATCTTTGCTTCAGGCCCATCTTTCCATCACTTTCACAGTGGGCTGACAAGGTTACCAGGTAACATCCTAACTTGGCATCTGTATGGAGTGAGCAACCTGGATATGTTGGGTGGCTTTTTTTTTTTCCTTCAGAGCTCTACCATGGCCAAACAGAGGTATAGATGAGCCCCATTTCTGGTGAGCCATAGGGGTTGTGGGGTGAGCTGGCTCAGCAGGACATGCAGTTCTGGAGCAGAGATACACAGCTCACCATTTGCAGTGGTCTCTCGCATGGATTGTCCCTCACTAGTCAGCTGGAAAAGAAGACTCCACTTCTGGCCATGAGGTTGTAGCGAGTGGTTCATTTCTCCCGCTTCCTTTTAAAAAATTTTTTTAAACCATTAACTTCAGAATTCAATCCTGAAGCATCTGCAGGGCAAAGCAGAAAATTTCGTGTTTCCAGCCACATGGATAGCAGGAGTCTGGCTGCAGCCGCTTGGTGAGTAGCACATCACGCCACTCCGTCGCCGATTGGGTGCTGCAGCGTGTAACGTCACATCTGATTAGCACTGTGCCAGTGGATGAGGCTCGAGTGAGGACTCCCTGCCAGCTCTGACTTGTCTCATTTCCCCTTACTTTTATCCGTCACCAGAAATGCCGAGTCTCCCTCCTGAACTAATTAAGTTTGCGTGTGTTTAGACACATTGCCAAATAGGGTTTAGCAAAGCAGAACTGAGCATCTCTTTTTAAAGAGAGAAAGCAGAGAGCTGAAACAAGGCTGCTCAGACAGGGAGATAGAGCCTCAGAGATGTGGAACATCTAGGAGGTATTCCAGGAAATCACCCCATGTTTCCCTGCAAGACTTGTGGTGTAGCTAGTGCCCTTTGCTACTGTGTTGAGACCACACACTGGGCACAGAAGGCACTGGGGCAACAGGAGGGGAGGCAGGGCTGCTTGTCCACATTTGGAGGAGTGTGTTGGTGAAAGCATTGTGTGGTAGAAACCTGACTGGGTTCCAGAGGAATTCAGGACAATGAGGTGAGTGCAGTGCTTCCTGGCTTAAGGAGCCACCACTTGTGGCAGGTCCTCTCCTTAGCAATGACAGCTTCCTTAGGAATGACAGCTACTTGCATGGCTGCCTGCAGAGCAAGCTACAGTCCTTTTACCTGTGTCTTGAGTGGTGTGAAGTTCCTGTCCTCCATTGTCCTTGGCTCGGCTGGTAAACTATGCAGCCTTGTTCCAGCAATGACCTGGGCATTTAGCTTGACTCCTGTCTGCATGTGCTGTTGAAGAGCTGAGGTGTGATGTCTTCTGGACTGCCCTGTCTGCTGTGAGGGCTGCCAGTAGGTGCCACTGGTAGGTTCCAGGGCACTGGAAGGCCCAGTAGGATGAGCAAGGTGGATGTGGGGAAGAGATAGTTAGAATTGTTGTATATAATGTATTACAGTATTTATTGTGTTCGTAATAAATTTTGATACAATTTCCCCATGCTAGCAATTGTGTTATGTCTGAAAACCCTCTCACACTGAAGCAAATTGGGAGGGGGGGGCTTGGAAATTGGAAATTGGATTTTTGGGGGTGTCAAACCATGACAGGCTGGAACAAAGAGGAGGAATCTACAAGCCAGTCAGTGGTGGATCTGGGCACAAGATGGGGAAATAGCCCTGTCTAAGCCAGGAGTATGTCAAAGAAAAACACTGGAGGAATAGTGACTGTCAAGGTATTATTGCTCTCTGCTGATGGTGTCTGGCACTATCTGAGTGCAGGATTCAAATTGGAAACTCAGCTGCTACAGGATCAGTGAAGCCTCTGCTTGGCTCAGGGATCTTCAAGGAATGAGGCACTGTGTGGCTACAAACTTGGTTGCTCTTGAACATTGGAGCTTTCTTGGAAGACCACAGAGCTGTTTGTCTGGCTTCCCTCAGACAGCAGGGAGCACTAGTCACAAGGAGCTGGGTGCCCAGAACAGGACACCAAGCATCTGGGAGGGGCCTATGGAGGTTTAGCATGAGTTGAAGTCCTTGGCCATGCTACCAAGGGCTTTGTTGTGGGTGTGGTGGACCATCAGAAGGAGTGTCCCTGTTGGAGGGATTGGTTACTGCTGGAGAGAGCTGGTTGTGTGAGCATTCCTCCGAAATGGAACGCTGATCCTCTACGGGCTGTGCTTGGATCAGCCCACTTTCAGTGCTCAGTGTGTGTGAACCAGGCTGGAGGTGGGGAGACAGCAGCTCTCCTGCCACCCCTCCCCTTCCCTCCTGTTAAGATGCAATTTCTTTAATGAGGAAAACCTCTTGAGTAGGAACATCACCTTTCTTGAAGGCTTGTCCTGACAAGGCAGTTCAAGCCGACAGAGTCGCATATCAACTTCAGCAAATATCAGTCACTCATTACAGAGACTCTTCTTCCCCCCAGCCCCCAGCAACACCCCTCGTTCCCAGACAAGGGAATGAATCACACTCCTGCTCTTGAATACATCATGACAAGTCGTGGTTCTAATGAGAGAGGGCCATTCATTCTGGGTGGAAAGTTCCCTGTGTCGACTCAGAAATGTTATTAATTAAAGAGAGCTACCTGAAGCAAAAGATGAAAGGAGCACCAGACCTGCCAAGCTAAAATATGAGTGGGGATACAGCCTTGTTAGGCACACGGTCCTCGGGCCTCTTCATGCTCAGCAGGAGGATTCCTTTAGCCTGTTGCAAGGAGCTATCCTCCAAGTTTAACAGCTCCAGGGATGGATTCAGATACCTGGTGTAGTCTGCTTTAGTGCCTCATCCTGCACCTAGGTTGGAACTGCCACTAGTCATTAAGCAAACAGTGTTGATGTGGCATTGGGTGGTGAGAGTAATGTGCCTCTGAAGGGCCGAGGGAGCCACTGACTACAGGAGATGGTCTTGTTGGAAAAGAGGGTTCTTAGTGTCTGCCACGGTTGAGCCCTTGTAATGTAAGCTCTTCAGTGTGGTCTGTCTCCCCTGAAATGTCCAGTTGCCTCTCTCTGTGTATGGAACCAGTTTGTGGGCTCTTAAACACAATGTGAATTAATCTTAGCAACCAAAGAGGCATTTTTACCGTGTGTTCATAGATACAAAGCTGAGATACACTGAGGTTAAGTGATATGCCTGTGGCTGTGCAGGGAGGCAGAGGCAGAGCTGAAGCCTCACGTGCCAAAACTCAGACCTGCACCGTAATGTCAAGAGCATCAGTTAATCCTTCTCCCTAGTTTCGAATCATTCTGCAAATGCACTGAGGATAGCTAAAAGTACATATAGGCTTTAGTCTGTATAACTGATATGAAGATGCTTGTACTGCACTTAGTGTGGCTGATCAGAACGTGCTAATTTATGTCTTCACAGGAAGCTACTGCTCAGAAGTTTTTTATTTTCTTAAATAAGTGTTAAAAGGCAAGTACTCTCTAATATAGTGATAAAACACAGTGAAGTGTCTTGAAATGTTTATAGCCCTTGGTGCTCTTCCTAGGTTGGATATTAGTAAATTCTAAGCAGTAAATTATACCATTGCTTAATTTTACTGTTTAATTCTTTCTTTGCAAGTTACACAGGCTGGGAGGATACTTGCCTTCCCAGAGCTGCTCTGAGTGTTGCAATGGGTTGCTCTTTCCAGCCTTCTGTCCTGGAGGTTTAGTTTGAGATCAACCTTAGGACATGAATGAAGAAGGATTGATGGTGTTCGTGT